TGTCAGCAGGAGGCTGAGTTGGGTTTTGGGGGGACCTCAGTCCTCAGCACTGCTAGGAGCCACTGAGCAATGGCTGTTTCCCTCTGGGACCAGCACTAGGTTAGGGGAAAGAAGAGAGACGGATATACTCCTATGCCATGTTTTCTCCCTGTTTGCATTTAAATCAGAAACCTTGTGGATTTTGCCTCCATACTTTGGGGAGCAAATAGGGGGCATCCCACTGAAGTCAATGGGAATTTTACATTTGGCTTTATTTCGCGTGAGCGAAGCACAGCCTGGCATTTGCAGGCTGTCTCTTCCAGGTAGAAGGCACGAGGGGCAGATCCAAAGTTGCCAGGAGTCAACTGAAACTCTTCCCTCAACCTTCTCAAGGTTTAGGTCCTGGTCCAGGTGACCAAACCTGTGCCTAGGGGAGATTTCAGCAGCAGGATCAGGCCCTCACACGTGTGTGTGCATGTGCACATGTGTGTGCAGGTCTTTCCCCAAGAAGTTGCAAGCGCTTCCCTCTCCTCCTTAACTCACAGTGGTGGTGGGATACTGTCTTCTGCAGTTAAAAGGAGCATCCCCAACATCTCCCCAAAGACAAGGAAGGACCATCCCCAGCATCCCTCCAAAACCTTCAGCTGGAAGCTCCGGGGTGGCAGGGAGCAGGTCCCCATGTCCCTGCGTGTGCAGCTGGGGAGGTGGAAGACTGAGAGCCGATTTGGGGCCTCCCCGCACCCAGGAGCCCCACTGGGCTGGGCGATGCTGAAAGGCTGCGTCCATGAGCTCCTCACAAAGGCTTTTTGCAGAGGGCAGACAAAGCAACATTCAACATTTTATGCTCTGCTTCAATAAACAGAATAGTCTTGTCAGGCAGAGAAGAGAGATGTGCTTTCAGGTGCTGCCATTCACTCCTCCCCAGATACACACACGCGTACCCCGTCCCTTTCCCACGCATCACTGCTGGGGCATGTCCTGCACTGGAGCTTGGGTTGTACTTCCCCAGGGGCCTGCTGATATTGGGGGTCATTGGCAAGGGGTGGGCTTTGGAGGACCAGGGGCTGCCTGGGGGCTGCTTTTCAACCTGGGGGTTCCCAACCTACTGGTGGGGGATCCATGAGATCTACATCACCCAGGGATCCACACCTCCTCTGGTGACATCCGCAGAGGTGTGCCAATTACCAAACCCACTGCCAGGGACCTGCCAGGGTCGAAGACTACCTCCAACTCATCCCAGCAGCCCATGGAGAAGGCTGCTTGCCTCAGTTTCCCCCTTTTCTCATGTGAGAATCCCCACAGCACTCTGCCCCAGAAGCACCAGAAGTACATGAATGAGGAGCAGCTCCAGAGGAGTCAGTGCTCCTTGGGGCTGGATGATTCCCGGGTTTCTATTGCCACACGCGTCCAACTCACAGGTAGGGAACAAGAGCCGAGACCTTCGCTTGCTGCACGAAGATTTGAACAGCAGAGCAGGCCCTCAGATGTAGCCATTTCTCAGATAGCTAAGGACACTAAGGGTGACAATCTTAAGAGGCTCATTTGCTTTTTTTGTTTTAAGAAAATGTTGTTGAGGGATGTTGAGAGTATTGCTGAGTTATTTCTCCCCCACCATCCACTTTGGATGGTATTTAGAAACTAAAGCAAAGCTAAGGCTTCTCTTTTCTTTCTCTCTCTCTCTCCTTGCTTTGAGTTCAGGTGTGATTGCTTGGGTGGGTGGGATTGAGCGCTGCAGCTTTAACAGGGATCCCGAGGAGGGACTGACCCGCTGGAGTTTTGCCAGCGACTCCAGGAGATTTACCCACACCCAGTAACTGTTCTGACATAAGCAAAAAGATGTGTTAGTGCACGAACCCTACCCCACTGAGAAACACATGCAATTACCCAATGTGGCAGAATCCAAACAGAAATTCATATCCTTACACTTCAGCATTATTTTTACCATAGAAACAAAGAAATGTACATTAAAAAAAAAAAAGAAAGAAATCAGACTTCCCCTCCACCCCCCCCAAATCATAGGCGTAAGACATCCTGTCACACACCAAACCACCGCAAAAAACATTGGAGTTAAGAAGTGTTTTCCTGCTACCACACCGACTTGTTCTAAAGCAAGAGTCACAAGACATTTTTTTTTAAAAGCTTTCTAAGAGAAACAGATTTCCTCAGACTGAGCTCAGAAATCAGGATATTCCCTGCCAAGCCCTCCCCACTCCCATCACGAGGAGCCAGCTCACATGGCAACCCTTTCCTCCCTGGGTACAAGACCCTAGTGCCAAGCAAGCGCGGTAACATTCAACACAGCTCTTATTTTCTTTGCAATATTACACCTCGATTTCAACTTATACTTTTTATCTCGTTCAAATTATTCCCTTTGAGCTTCTTTAAAGAAGTGCACCTACAGAATTCGGAAACAACTGGCTTTGATTTGAAAAAGCAAAAAAAAAAAAAAAAAGAAAAGTATCAGAATATCAGAATTGTGGATTTTTTTTCTCTGTACCTGATATATTGTGTAGGGATCTCTAGTCCTCTTTGAAGAAGCTCATAAGCCAAGCGGGCAAAGCTTTAGGAAACAGAAGAAAATAAAATAGTGCATACTCCTGAGAAAGAATTACATACTCATATCACTCATTTTTGTTGTTGTTAACAGTTCTTTAAAAATGGGGGAAGATATCTCTCACACACACTACTCAAGGAAATTAAGGACTGAAACATTGGCATAGTTAGGAATATAAAACTCCCTAGAGAAAAAGAGGAGATCTCAGAAAATTAAGAAATCAGATAGTGCTGACATTTTACCAGACCTTACTTTCAGATTTTGCAACCCATTACAGACAAGGCATTTTACCATCAAAGGCAAGTACTAAATTACAAAGGTATGTTTGCATGCATGAATACGTGTGGCTATACACACATATTAAATATATATGTATATATTCATATATATACATATATATACAAACATACCTAGGATACACGCGCACCCCTATCAAGTTATGTGTGTGCATACACATATGCACACACATACGCACACACACGCCCATACACACCTGTAAACGCTGGTAATCTAAACAGAGAGTCTGTCTAGACCAGGAAAAACAAAAAAGTTCTTAAAAAATAGAGTCAGCTAATTCAACTGAGCTACGACGACTTGAAACTTCCCATCTAATGGCGTCTAATGTTAAGACATTGCCATGAACGCAGCTCGAGCTGGCTGGTGTTGATGACTTCGTGAGAGGTCTGTGCGCTCACCTCCCCTCCTTTCCTAGTCTAGACAGAACCAGGGTGGTGAGATGAGATGGGAAGAGTTGGGGGCAATGAGGCGATGGGGTTGCTCAGAAAGGAATGTTCTGGAAGATCATTTTAGCTAGGGTGGAGACAGGATGTCGTTCAAAAAAAAAAAAGAATAAAATAAAAATAATAGCAAGACAGACCGTGCAGCTCAAGAAATCAAAGCACTGACACCAAAAATGTTTCTCCGATTTCTTCCAATAAGTTATTCATTTCTTTCTTTTATTATTATTATTAATTATTATTATATTCCCCTCCCCCCCAAATCATTATTTTAAAAATGTGATTTTCTTTTATTATTATTATTATTTTTATTATTATTATTATTATTATTTTGTCCTACCTAATAGAATTCTTCCAAAGCCCAATCCAGTATTTTTAAAGCTAAAATTAAGACGGTTTTGTTTTAAAAGATTATCTCTTTCTTTTCTCCTTTTATTTATTTAACTTTTTTCTTTTCCTTTCTTTCTTTTTTATTTTTCCTCTCTCTCTCTCTCTCTCTCTCTCATTTTCTGTGTTTCTCTTCCTTGTCTCCAGTTTTACTACCTGGTCCTTCGCCAGATGTGTGCCTGTTAGCAGTGTTGTTGTTCAAGAACATCTTGTCCATGCCTTTGAGAGCTTCAGTCAGGTAGTTTTGAAGGGCCGTGAGGGCAGCGCAGATAGCGGGGGCCCCAAAGCCGTGAGTGATGAGGCTGAAGTGAGTCAAGCAGCTCTGAATGCCCGGTTCCAAAATAGGGGTGGGCCGGCTGTTTCCAATGGGCGTCCTGTCCTGGGCCAAGAGATCTGTAAATTCTTTACAAAGTTGCCTGTACGGGAGAGAGAAAGGCAAAGAGAGGAAGAAAGAGAGAGAAAAGCGGTGGTTAGGCTCATCCCACACTTCTCCAAGACAACCAAGGTTGAAGGAAGGGGGAGGTTCAGGCCAAAGCTGATCCCAAGCCCCAGGACAGGACCTTTTGGCCACCTTCCTTTTCCCCAAGAGTGCTTGGGGACCGGCAATGGCGAGCCAGCAGCTCCCTGCTCAGGATGATGTTCTTCAGGAGAGAGACTTCTGCAATTGCAGGATAACACCAGATCTGAAGATAGAAATCTCTCTGACAACCACAAGGATGCTTCTGAAGCACTGAAAACCCAGCCCTGCTTGGTGGCTCTAGAAATAACCAGGCTGAAAGGGAGATGTGCCACAAGTCTGCCAACCACCTGTCTTTGTGGAGGCCTGACCCTGGCTCAAAGCAGCTCCCCCCAGTGCTGTTCCTGGAGGAAAGCACAACCATGCACTGAGAGCTACTGGGTGGCACAGGGACATGGTGCAGGGAAGGTCCAAAATGGGCTCTCCTCTGAGACCGCTCAGGCTGGGCCACCTTATCAAGAAAGATGAGGACTTTGGGACTCCATGCTGGCTTATTCATTGCACAAGGAGCAAAGCTAGCATTTCCTATTTTATTTTGGGGGGTGGCATCCCAATTAACACATCAGAGTTGATATCTGGCTCTTGTTTGTTTGCCCACACCTTTAAAAAATCAGTAATGAATTCCCCCCCACACTTTATTTTGCATTGCTCTGGTCCAAAAGGCCTTCTAGTCAACAGGTGCCCGGGCAATGTAGAAGCCTTGGGGGCTGGTGGGGTTCCCAAAGGAATAATTTCTTTGAGACAGATGCCTACCTAGGGATTGGAGATAAAAGGGCAGGAATTTAAAAAAAAAAAAAAAAAAGAAAGAAAAAAAAGGAAAAAAGAAACCCTTAAAAAAAGGTGTTCAGCTCTCATCCTCTGAAATTCTCTGAAATTCCCAGTGGGTTAAAGGTTTCAGAGGGTGGGGAAAGATAAAGGTCTACTTCTATGTGTATTATCCATTAAGAAAGTGCAAGAGAGGAAACTTTGAATTTGGAGAACAAACAGTAATGAGTCCAACATTTTACATCTTCAAAGAGCAAAGCAGGGTCTGCGAGCAATTAAAGTTCTGGGACATTAATATCTTCTGACCCTGCAGAAAAGGGCAATCAAATTCCAATCACGTCTAAAAAACATCTGGACAAATTTGAGCAAATGATTTTTCAACCCTCCATATATTTCTTTAAATTACACTGTCATCGGAGGCAAGCCACGTCCCAGAACATGAAATAAATGAGAGCTGTTTGGGCTGGGATTTTTTCTTTCTTTTTCTTTCTTTTTTTTCTCCTTTTTTTGCTGGATAGATGGAGATGTGTGGAGACACACAGCACCCACCACCGAGGACCTGAGCAAAGTATGAGGCACCCAGTTAGTAGCCTGGGAGGCACAGCCAAGTGTAAATCCTCCGATACAGCACATACAGAGAGAAAGTCCCAAGGCAGAGAGATGGGCAGGGAGGACCAAACCGAGGATGATTAGCAGTACGTGGTGGTGGGTTTTTTTCTTTTTTTTTTTTCCTTTTTTTTTTTTAATTAAACTGTATGGAAAAGACATTGCAATTTGGTAGCAGACAAACAGGTGTGTGTGAGCAGCAGGAGGGACAGGGAGACATGCTGTGGAAGCCAAATATAGATTTTTGGTCCCCTTTCCATAAAGATTTTTGAATTGGGGGTGGCTTGGAGACGATGGACAGTAGCTAGGGGACAGGTCGCCTACATCCTCTCTAGGGAGAGCGTGTGTTGGCAGAAACCCCACTGCGGAGGGGCGCAGAGGCTATGGGGTCGACCCGGCCCATAGGGCGGTACGAGCATCCTCCCTCCCCGCGGGGCCGGTACAATTTGGGGACTGGAAACTCCGTCTGCTGTCATAACGAGCTCAGAGGAAGCGTTTAAGGAGGAGGAGGAGGATTTTCTGGGGGGGAGGGCAGAAGAGGGGTGTAGTCAACTTCGCACTCACTTTGTAGCAAGCAGCATGTTTTTCCTGGAGTGGAGGTCGCTGGGGTCCGTGTGCTGTCTGTTCAGGTACTCAGAAACAGCTTTGGCTGGGAACTCCGTTTCGCAAATGTACCCAAAATCCCGAGCTAAATGAACGGCCTCACCTGGAGGGAATGAGAGGGGGCATTAACACCTCCGGGCACCGCCGGCTCCGGGCTGGGCCGGCTCCGACCCGCCGAGGCACCGGGCGGCTCTGGGCCGCTGCCCGCCGCTCCCCCGGGCCGTCTTTAGAAACCGTATAACATCCCCTGCACCTTAGGGACGGGCTCCATATATACGTTTTCCCTCCACAAGCCCTATTTTGGGAGCAGAAGTAACTTTATGGGACAGATTTTTCACCTGATGAGGTTTGTCTTTGCTACAACGCACTTGCGCGGGTACGTACCCATGCAGCTGATTGGGCAGAACTGTGGGAAAAGTACACACACATGTACATACACACACGTGTAACATACATACATACACACACACGCGTACACTTTCAAATGAACTGGGCCAAAAAAAAAAAACCCAAGGGGAAACTTAAATCCCAAAAGACAGAAAGATCCAAACTTCCCTTAGAGCAAAGAAACCAGTCCTGTTTTAATACACCAGAACACCGTCCAAAATTTTACAGATGTGGATATAATGTTAATATTAATGTCAATTCTTTGTGGGATAATATATACACACTTGTTTATACACACACAGAGAGCACTTGCATCATTACCACAATTATCGCCACATCTGTAAAATGATGGAGAGAACTGCATTTTGTCCGATGGAAATTATTAATCTGCTTTCTTAACTGACCATCATGCAACAGGAACTCCTCCCTGCCCGGTGGAAGGATAGCAACTAACGGTAACCTTTTCTATGAAAAATAATGAATATTTTAATTCTAATTGTTACTTTCCCTGCCTGCCTGATTTCAGGTTTCTTGCCTCCAGAACTTCGTGTCATCCAACTCCTACTTATGTACTTTATGCCAGAAGAAGAAGACAGTAGCTGCAGAAAGGAGGAAAAGAGAAGGGGAAAAAAAACCCTCCGACTCTAGGGGGATTCCACCAGATTACAGCTCAGCCCCTCTAGAATAAAGCATTAAACCCTTTAAAGCAGCGCCTGAGGGACCAGGGGGAAGATTTCCAACACGCAAAACAGATATGTCCAATAACTCCAGGACCACATTATTTTTAACGATCAGGAGTTGCTTTCCAACGTCATCTTCTGCTTTCCAAGGCTTCTCGCTAATCACCAAACCGCTTAATGACGGCGAGGGCACCCGGCGGAGGCCGGGGAGTCCCCTCCGCCGTCGCCCCGCGCCGGGCAGGGTCCCCCCGGGCACCGCTCGGGCAACCCCGGCCGGGGCTGGCCGGAGCCTTCCTGCTCTGGGCGGCACAACAGCAGCAAAGCTAAAGTCTGGCTGGTGGGAAACAAGAAAATAAATCTCCAGCAGGTGCAGCTTCTTCCAAAAGGAGGGAGCTCTCTCAAGGTAAACTGTTGATTTGTAAGGAAATCAGGGGAGAGGAGGGTAATGTACACCTTACTACACACTTGACATAGATTTTGGCGTCACTATACAACCGCACAAGCTTTTGAACCTCAAGCCAGCTTCGGGGAGGGGCTGATTTTGCTGTGAGTAGGGTGCACCGGTTTTGACTCAGGCAGCGGGGGTGAAGCTGCCCTGCCCCCGCTGGGACAGGGCAGTTGTCACTCCCCAAACGCTTCACGTCTCCTATAGCGCGACCCTATATCCGTAACCTACGCTCTGCTTTGCACACTCGGCATAACCTACATGCGGGTACCAGGAGGAGCTCATTTCTACCAGCCCCCGTCTTTTTGCGAGCCTGCCTTCAGCTCTGCATGCGGTAAGGTCTTATCGCTCACATAACTCAATCAAAAGAGTTGAAAAGTTAATATCTAGCACCAATGCTTATGCATGCCTATATGCAGAAGAGGTAAGTGGATTATTTATATCCCTCTCGGTGTGTATGTGTAATGCAGATACATATAATTCATAACTGCGTCCATACTATTCCCGCTATGTTTTTTGGAGATGGTCCAGCATCTCTCAGGATAAACACGCACATATCGAAACATTATTAGTGGCTCTAAATTTTACTTTTCAATACAGTAACAATAAATCAAAGAAACACGCCGAACACCAAAATATCATCAGTTGACTTGAAATGAGGTGAAACTTCAGCCTCCCCTTCCCTCTCTCCTTCCCCAGGAATAGCTGGTCTCCTTGTTCAGTTCTAGCCACCTTAAGGTAACCTGCGCTCTGCGACTCTTCAATTGCTCTGATTTCTTTAAAAAAATAAATTCTGCATTATTTTTCCTCACTGAGAGTCCTGTAGTGGCCATAAATAAGGTCGGGAGGAGCGAATTAGCGGGCGGAGTAGACGTGGAGTTGGGAAGCACATGCTGGAAATGAATAGCAATGAGGAATGGGACTGCCCTGGAGAATCACACACACACACACATACACACACACATATACACACACACAACCTCATTCTTGCCACCAAGAGGGATCAATGACCCTCCAGCCAGCGACTCCGTTTTTGGGAACGGGATCCTTAACCGTGCCGGTGTTCGTGCTAACCCGCCCTGAATTTCACCTCTGCAAGGTTTTCCCACCTGATCCCGAAAGCTGGTAGGTTTGGGTTGGTTTTTTTTTTTTTTGTTGTTGTTAAGATGTCAAGACACGAGTTCAGGCAGGCAGGGGTGTGAAGAGAGCTGCGACCCTCGGCTTACCTTCCACCAGGGAGGTGAGTAAAGTGACATTTGCGGCCTTACGCCTGCCGGCTGGTAAATTCAAACCGATTTTTTCTAGCCTTTCTCGCAAAGATCTCCCCCCGTTTTTCGATTTGGCTCTAGAATTGCAAAGAAATTAACATCGTGATTAACCCCGCAGTGTTCCTGGAAGAAACGTTTAGTCTGTGCAGTCAGTGGCACCTAGGAGGGTTTGCACTCGACGTTGAGGACTCTGGGTGTGCGGATTTCTGTGCGGGTTTGCTGGGATTTGCTTAATTTCTCACGGGGGAGAAATGTGATGAACCTCAAGCCAGCTTCGGGGAGGGGCTGATTTTGCTGTGAGTAGGGGATAAACCCACTTTTCTCCCCTTTTTATCCAGGGAAATCAAATAATGCCAAATAGCAGTAATTAATGGATCTAGAGAGCAAATGGGTTCCTACAGTATGACACTAACTCATATTAAGGTGGAGTGAGGAGATGGGCAGAAAGGCAGAAAGGCAGAGGAGAATTAAATCCTCGGTTATTCCAGGAAAAAGCCAGAATGGGAAGAAGAACGAAGGGGGAAAAAAAAAATCTGAAAGGCTCGAAGGGAGAATGTGTGTGCCTGTGGGTAAATAGAAAAGGAGGAAAACATTTATTAAACCATTTCGGGCGTGTGTGTGAGTGTGTTCTTGTGCGGAAAGGCAATGCTGAGAGGAAAAGCTCACCTGAAGGCAGGGTTGCCTTATACAGAGGGAATTGATTGCCTGAAGGCAGATTTGAATATCTGTCGGAGGTTACTGATAAGGACAATAAAAGGATGAGTGAGCTATAGGTGGCAAATACAGAGCTATTGTTCGGACGCCTATACATATGTAAACCCCCAGGGATGAAATCTTGCCACCTGCGAAATCAGGAAGAGTTTTGGCACCTAATATCAGAGTCAATCCCAAATATCTTTTAGTACTTACTTAAAATTTGTTTAAGAATTAGCAGTCACACTTAGCGAAAGGAAACCAGAAACTACAGAGAAGCCAGACTGGCTTCCCACTATTTTATATCAAAGTAAATAGGCCTAGATGGCAGAATTGCAAGAGAGCAGCTTTCTATATTTCATCTGCTCTGAACCAAAAGCTCGTCTAAAATTTTGATTCAAGATAGGAACTGAAGTCAGCAGCAGCCAATGATTATGGCTTGGGCCATCTCCAGAAATCCACTGAAGTTCACTAACGACGTTTCTTTACCTCGATAATTATATTTTCTACAGTGCATCTCTCAGATGTTCTCCCTGCTCCATTTGTAGTTGTACAGAATGAGCAGACAGGTTAGCATCTGTAAGTAAAAATCTCTGCTGCTCTCACTGGCAAGGATCACAGCTAAACATTGATTACAGACATTCACGTGGAACAGCAGCTATTTTAGGAGATCCTAATTCTCACGTGTATTTTTGGGTGACTGACTGCATGTAGCAGGACTTTCCCCCTCCTCTCCAGACACGGAGCTGGAGCCCCTGACATCATCACAGAAATTTTTGCATGGAAAAAAAACCCCAACCAAACAACAACTTCGTTTTAAAACACCTTAGAGTCAACGGTGCCCAACTGCTGCTACAGGAGTTGGCGAGGTATTTCCTCCTCTAAGATTAGCAAAGTTTAAACATGATCTGAAATTTATTTGGGGCCAAATTAATTGGATTTTTTTCTGTCTCGAAGTTATGCTTTATATTCCAGTCTGGTGTATACCTCACAGAGTACAGAAAACAGAGTCTTATCCCCTCTCATCTTTCCATTGGCTTGAGTGAACTGGTACCTCTTACCATATCATGGCTTCTTCCCTGTTATGACTGGAGGTAGAGCCTTAGCTCACCTTTCTTAGAGACAAGTCGTACTGACAATTCACAGTCCTTCAGTCACTGCCAAGAAGAAAAGGCCTTCCTCCTGTTAGTCTTTGCAGCTGATGACCTCGGAGCTTAAATTCTTGTTGCTGGTACCTAAATGCACGATCTCTCACTTGATATGACGGAGTGGCAAACAGGCCTCCAGGTTATCCCTTGCTCCTCTTTCTCCTCAGTGTCAATAATGCCAACTGTTTTGAGGTCTTCAGCGAAATCCACCAGCACAATAGAGGGTGATTTGCACAAACGTTAAACAGCAAAGGCCTCAAGACCAACTGTGAGTAATTCCTCTAGCAACCTTCTCTAGATAAAGCACTAAGTTTCTGACTTTCGAAGTTATCTGTTGATGGCTTTACTTTAGTCAGGTACTTACCTACCTTACAGGTTGCCTATTAGTCCCCTGCCAATTTCAATAATGTCCTGTGTGACAACGTGTTAATTGCTTTATGCTTATAGCCCTATAGAGGAGGCCTCATGGATTTATCTAGGAAATCCCTAGAAATACTTCAGGTCCTGAAACGCATCCAGTTCATCCTGAAACATCTAACTGCAACATGCCCATCATGGCTTTTTATTTTGCCCATTTGCTAAGAGAGAAGTGTGAGGAGAAGGAGAAAAGATAGAAGGTGTGTGCGTGTACGAGAGTGAAAAAACTTATCTCAGTTCCTTCATTTTGGGATGCTTTGATAGAAAATGTACAAGGCCAAGTCTTTCTCTAGTCTCCATACATTCATCTCAATGTCTGAATACAGCATATTTTCACCTTATCCTGAACGTTACATACACATGCTATCACAGTAAGATCAATGCATATTTGCAGTCACCTTTACCGTTGACCAGATATTTCTGGCGCATGCATGGATGCCCACACATGGGCAGGTTCATGTACTCGCCCCAGCCTCTTACCTTCTAAGTACTCCTCCTAGGAGGGATGCATTCAGACACTCTGGAGGAGAAAGACGTCTTTGAACTTCTCCCACAGTTACTTTATACTTTGAAGTTGAACTAAGCAAAGACAAGCGGCCAGGTACAGAGCAAAACACCTCTCCGGTATTGACTGAAATTCCACCCAGGAAGCCATCTTTATTCATCATCAAAGAAGTAACAGATTTTGGAGGAACCGGAACTGGAGAGAGAAAAGGGGAAGAGGGGAGAGAGAAACCGTCATGCCACGAAGGAGTACGGGGTAACCACAGTCTCTCTGACATGCACAGAACAGCAAAATGAAAGGGAATTTTGAATCTCTGGCTACCTCCAGCAACCTAAAGGGTGCTGCTTCCCCAACCTCTAGGTAACTGCTCCATGAATGATGGATGAAGAGAAGGGTGGTGCAGTACAGCCTCTATGCAGGGTTTGATCATTGGGAAATAAAATACATATTGGCAAGCACCTGGCAACTTTCGGGTTTGAGCCTGTGTCTCACCCAGAGCCCCCCGATGCCTTTTGTACAACGGACAGCGCCTTTCTGGAGGGGAAAAAAAAAGGAAAATTTACTTTTTTTGCTAATGTTTCCATTACTGCTAAGCTGAGCCAGGAATAAATTCACTACACGAAGGGAATTGCTGTCTTAAATAAGTATCAAGGCTGGAGGATACAGCAACCAGAAGACAGCTCTGTTATTGCTTTGTGTTTTTATTAAGTCTGGTTTATGAAATAAAATGAGTCTTTTCCTTCAGAAAAATGAACACCAGGAAAAAAAAGTCTGGTCTAACCATGGCGTTCACCACCTTGATCATATTGTGCTGTCCGTGAAGTAGTAGGAACTCTCCCACCCCTAAATAAAGCTGAGGTAGTTACTGTAACAAATATTTAAAGGAAGTTTTGGGGAAGAAAAAAATCAGAACAGAACAATAAAGCGAAACTAAACAAAATCAAAACATGCTATTCTGTCCACGATGAAACGAAGTATTTCTTTTCTCTGAGAAACGAGTGAGGTTATTTTAAGAGTAACCAAGGGGATTATAACGAACAAAGTCCTATAATAGCAACCAGACACACTCAGAAATAAACAAGAAAAAAAAATCGGCTAAACTAAAACTGAGAGCAATTCCCCCGTGACATGAATTTTGTTTACAAATGAACTTAAATAGCCTCCCTCATCATTGTGCGTAACTGTTATGATTTACAGCAGGTGCTCTAATCAATCAACCAATCACTTTAATTTATAGGGAGCCTCGCTGCATTTTCCCAGTTGTTTCATTTCTGCAAGTAATTGATAACAAACCGTACTTAAGGTATGTTTTATGCAGGAGTTAATAAGAGCTGACAGCTGCTACTGCTGCTTCCTCTCGGAATCGCGGCAACACGCGTTGCCTTATAGAAAATATACTCCGAAATTGGGGGGTTGCTGGTGGTAGAGTCCGGACATGTTTCAGAGGAGAAGACTAATTGATTACACACCCTCGTCGAGCAGATACTACTTCACAGTCTCCCATTTCCACTCAATCAATTGCAAAACCAATACGGCAAATAATAGGGTTCTATTATGCACATATGCCAGCTATTTAGGTGGTTATAATACATGTCAGTTAAGTCATAAAAACCCTGTTTATTTGCAACATATCTGGAGAATCAAACCATTAGGGTTGAGGGGATATTTAAGTCGTCTGGAGCTGCTAAACAATAAGATCGGGTATCCTAATATATTACCAAGTGCTAACTACTGGGCAATTGCCAATTTTATAACCTCAGTGTATGGAATAGACACAACCGTGTTTCACTGTTTTTATTACAGATCATTTCCTACTGCCAGACCAGACCCCCACAATAAAAGCTCTATAACAGCTAAAAACCAAAAGGCATGTCGATTTTAGATATACATATCGCTTCATATGCCTTGTATATAGTCTCCAGTATAAACAAATTATTTTGAGTGGCTTTACTCCAGGGAATCGGAAAGTGAAATGGATTCCTATTTCTCTATTATTTTTAGTTAGGCACTTTATGCAGCTCATAAAGGCGGTTTCAAATAGTTTGAGAACGGCACAGAAACAGTTATAAAAGAGTTAGAGGCCCGCTCCTACTTTCGTTGCTATTAATAGGATTTTTTGCCATTGATTCTATAGGAAGGGACTCGTTTGGGGTATCATCAGAGGTAGTACTGGCAGACAAAAAAAAAGTCTCTCTCTCTCTTCTCCCATTATACGTAGATATATCACTTAGTTAATGCACGATGTCCTGCAACGTCATTCGAGTGAAGCATCAAGAAAAAGTTGGGGGGGGGGGGGGGGAAGATAGACAAGAGCAGGGCCACCAGACAGGTTTTTCATGACTGGCATTTTTTTCTTGGGACGAACACATGGGCTCAGTTGTTCGAGTGCACCTTTACAGTGGCTATATTTAGCGGGGAAGTTAGATTAAAGCAGTGCCACCAGACAGATTTTTCATGACTGGCATTTTTTTCTTGGGACGAACACATGGGCTCAGTTGTTCGAGTGCACCTTTACAGTGGCTATATTTAGTGACCAGTTTATCAGGTCACTGTCCAGTGAACTGAGAAATTAAACAAGAGGCAGCAATTCCACCAACATCTGATCTTAGTCCAAACTCACTAAAGAGAGAGGGACCCGTGCAATGCTTAAATGTACCTCACCCCACTCGCTTTGGCCTTTTGGAGGACTCATTACATTAGTTAACCTTTGAAATATGGATTTTCAAGTGCTCGATATTTTTTTTTTCCTTGCAAATTGCTTTTGGGAAGCAGGCTGGCTCCCTTCCCAGCTGTGCTGAGAGCTCCTCAGCTTTTGTCCCTACCAGTGCCTCCCCGAAAAGGACCGTATGAACACACCCATCAGTTGGAGTCTAATAACTCTAAACCCATTTCAGAGGCTTACCAGGCGGTGTAAGCATATCTATTGCAATTTCATAGCTTCAGAGAAATGTATTCTATCTAGACTCTATATCTTCTGTAAATTACCTAATGCTGCCTCAAAAAAGTGTTTGCCATGGAATGAATTATCTCTATCTATATCATATCTATATGTTTATCATGGCTATAGCATTCCAGATATAGCCCAGGCATTGCCTGAGATAATATAACGTGGAGGTTTTAGTGGGTGAAGAGATATACACGTCCGTGTGTGCAGCTGCATGTCTCAAATCCCTACGTGTATGTAAATAAACCGTAAGGCACGGTATATTTTTAGTCGATGTCAACTTTCCCAGTTGGTCAGGGACTGCCATAACTGCTGAAATAATACACAATAACACATACGGCTGTAAGCAGCGTTCCCACCACTTCTGCTTTAACTTTATCTCATTTAGTTCTTGTTATCCCCAGCAGAAACTATTCGATTTTCTTTCACTCCCCAGCCCTATTTGCTGTGTTTATGTGAGCATTCACAAATACATAATTCCCCCTTCCAAAATCTCTGCCTTCTCTTTCTCTTTTTTTCTCTCTCTCTCCTTTCTCTCTCTTTTTTTTCTCTACTTCTTTCTCCTTTTCTGTCCCTTTCTTTCTCTCTTTATCCTCCTGTGGTTACTTCCAGCCTCTTTGTCATTTCTCCCCCTTCCATTTCTCTTCAGCTTATCAATAAACCGGGAGAGCAACAGTAGCCGCTTGATTTGTTAGTAATTATAAGCATACTGTTCCTGCAAACGGGATCTCTAGATGAGTGAGATCGCTTTAAAACGACAGCAGGAAATGGTGGGGAAATGGAGCATGGCGAAACTCAGCGTGAAGCTTTCAGTTCTTTACATGTTTACAATTTTCTGTGCATACATTAAGTCTTAGGGGTTGGTTTTTGTTTTTTTTTTCGTGGTGGTGGTGGTTCTCTGTTGGGTTGCTCTCGACAAACGCGTGAAAAGGCGCAGAAATGCACACGGGCAAGAGGAAATGGCAATAAAAGGGCATGTCAGCAACACTAAAAATAAATAAATAGATAGCATTATGTCTTGAAAATAGCTGAGTAACGAGGCTCTAAGCTATGGATATCGTGGCAATAACCCTGGTGAATAATGATAGTCGATGACTCAATCAATCAATTAATCAGAAGAAATATTTGTTTGATTTATTACTAAGAAACACGGACAAACTTACTACTAATCAGCTGTTAAACTGCCTTCAAATCTTTTTATCTGCCTACTGGGCGTGAAATGAGTAAAAAGTTCTTTCTCCATTATAACAGGACTTTGTTGTTAATGATGATTTGGTCTGACTTTGTAGCCAAACCTAGGGAAGTCTGGGGACAACGTCTTACCCATTGCCACTAAAAGACCCGGTTCTTATTTTAATGTTAGTGAATAAATACAGAAAGTGTGTGTTCATGTTCCCTTCCCTCCTGTCCCTCTCGCCCCCTCCTCTTCCCCCCTCCCTCTCCTCCACCGCAGTCCCTTTCCCCTGAAAGCTGGGACTAAATTTCAAAGTGAAATGTATTCCCTCGAAATTGTTTTGCATTCAATTAAAGTGGGTCATAAGGTTCAATGGGTAATCCCGGAAAAAGCACGAAACGGAGTGGCAGCGAAGCAACATCTCCGATTCCCAGATCTATCACCTGAAAAGCTGAGGCCAGAGCGGCCAGTTAATCATTTATCCGGATACTTCAAGAAGGGGTGGGAAGGAATCTTATGCTGTATTATTAAGAGTTGAAAAAATGTTGATATCTCCTTTCATATGTTTTATTTAAAATAATATGAACAAAAGAACGTGTTTGCAAGGAAGCAATGAATTAAGGTGTGAGGGTTAAAATGGCCTTTCGTGCTAGATCAGGTGTGGGTGTGCAGACGGCCGTCAGAAACAGCCGAAAGTAAATAAATACATCAGGATAATTTTAAGGTCACTGACTGTGCCCCAGAGTCACAAAAAATTAACTCGGGACTCGGGCCACACAAGCTTTTGCGAGAGGACAACTTCTTTCGCCATAGAGGGTGCCAAGGAAATTTCAGAGGAGCAGGGGACGCGCTCCTTCATTCCTGACACATGGAGAACCTTCCCTTCATTTCAGCAGAAATCGAGGGAAAGGCCTCAAAACGTGCAGCCGGTAAGCTCTTAAAGCCGAGTTAAATCTGGTATTAATGCTCTTGGTGATTATTATCATCTTGATGATTTATCCCTCCCTCCCATTTCCACCACCCAAATCTTAATGGAACTAGGAGTTAACGATGATTTTTTAATGTCTCGTTGGATTTTTAGACTGTTAATGTACCGCATCCTTCTCATTATTAGTTTATTGATTGTTCATTGACCAGCCCCCTTCAAATCGTATTAACCACCCTCTGCCACTTTAGATTAGGAGAGTTTAAAAAGCACCTCTCATTATTTCACCGCCACCACCACCACCACAGCAGAGTTCAGGCTTGGTAGCTTAATGCTCGCTCTAATGGGGCAGCTAAGAGACGAGGGGCCACGGTCCCTGCCTATTGCATTAATAGCTCAAAGGGGGCTAATACAGAAAATTAGCCTTAAACGAGCTCTGGAGATCTCCAAATGAAAGAGCCATTTATCACGCTGGCTACCTTCACTCCACTCGTTTGCTCTCTCTACTGGGAACAACTCATTTCCTCTTAACTAAATTACTTCAGAAATGTCAAGTAAGCTCAGATAGCAAACATAACAAGAGACTGGGTATATGTAATCTATTGTGCGGGATCGATACGCGAGATAAATCGATAGCCGTGTATGAAGCCCTATATAATTTCCTTAATATTTTTGGCAATCCTTTTGCATAGATAGGTAATTCCCTCTGCAGGCCTGAAAGACCATAAAGAAAGAGACACGTACGGTCTGGATGAGATAATTAAGTTTAGACTTCAAGTCCACATCATATTTTTCCCACTACGTTGTAATTAAAGCATTTTAAGCACTAAAGTAGATTTTGGGGAAGCAGACCCCCTCCAATCCTCCTCTAGCAAATACGTGTCACGGGGAGTGCTCCACGGCACAAAAACCAGTCAATGCCTATCTGTCTGGCTATCTATGCCATCCGCCTGCAATAACGACTTACAGAGTTTCAATAACTTATTCTTACTTCAAAGTACATCCTCACAGGTGTAGACTGCAGGGAACAAAGCGAAATTGATACTGAACCCTCTCTGTGTTGCTCCTTCTCTCGTCCTGATTAAATATTGTCTGCCACAAATGTGACCTACTATTTAGTACCCATTTCTCTTCCCCCGCACCCAGGAAACTCGCTGTGCAAGAAGAAACTGAGCTCACCATATTCCTTTATGCTGGAAAGTTTCTTAGAGCTCAGCATTACTTCTAAGGAAGAAAATACTCTTACAGTGACTTTAAGGCAGCTGCAGACGAATCTCAGCATCTTTTTTAGTCACCTAATTTCTAAAGTGCGCATGTATCCTGCTCCTTATGGATAAACTCAGAGTATCCCTGCAAACAGGCCCATGTAATCCTACCTACGTGGGACCGTGTGTGCGGCAGCTGCCCGACCTGGGGCCGTTGCAATGCCCATACACAGCAAGCACACCTAAATCTATCCCTAATCCATATAATTATTAACACTCGCATTTTAAGGCTGCTCGCTATCTAACTGCACCACTCAGCATGCACATGAAATGACTCTGCTGTCCCCGTCGTCTCAAGGAGGGAGAGACACGGACGCGGGGGGTAAAAGAGTATTTTGGACGGAGTGACCAGCAGAAGAGCGTTCTGCGAAGAAACAGATTGCGAAAGGAAAATGCGAGCACGGACCGACGGTAGAAAGAAGTCTCTCGCCCACAAATCAAGCACCAATTAATCAAACACACCCACGAGGAAACATCGCGTATGAGGTGTCAAGGGGGGGCGGGGAGGGGAGGAGGAGGGAGGAGAGGGAGGAAAAAAAAAAAAAAAGAAAAAAACAACCAGAAGCCGTCAGGTTACAGACCCCGAGCATAAAACCTACTAAGCATTCAAATGAACTAAAACAGGAAAAACAACTTCTTTTTTTTTTTTTTTAAAAGCTAAAAAATTTTCTGTTTCTCAAAAAGCACCTTCGACTTCTCAATCGGTGGTCATAAATGATGCTGCCAAATGGTCTTCAAGTTTTCATCTGTCCTCCCTCAAATAACTAGAACTTGATCGTATGTGAGAGAAAGAGAGAGAGACTGTACATGAGGATTTAAATTAAAAAACAATAAATACACGGAAGGACCTCATGCTGCCTTGAACACATTTTAAATAAACACCCTTCCTGTTATTTTGCTTTACATTCTAGAAAATCATCTCTATTAAAGCATTTGTGCGCATTTGACAAATAATAAGGTCCTGGAGATAAGTGCTGTTGATAGTAAGCATAAGGGACAGCATTTCTAAGCCTCATCTCTGGTACTTAAAATTGAATCTAGAAATAGAAACTCCTTAGATAATTAAAGATAGCTTTCCCTGCATTTGCAGTGTGTGATCTGTTTAATGTCTATCAGCATAACACAACACTAATCGCCAAGCATCTTCGAGTGACTGTCAGAGAAATGTAAAAAAATTAAGCAGCTGCAATACGCCCAAAATGAGTTATTGTAATTACATTTAATTAGTTTAATTAGTTAATTATTTTGCTTACAGCTGTACAAGAGACTGCAAACATTTGTTAATATCACATTCCCTTTAACAGTATGGGGTGATTCTGCAGTTACACTAAATCATGTGTGCATATGTAGAAAGATTTAAAAAATGGGCATGGGGAAGGGGGGATTCTTGGGGGAAGGGGGGAAGGAGGTCGGGGCTGCCTTTCCATAGGCATTTGTTTCTCTCCCCTTCGCATTTGATTCGCCTGGGAAATGCACTTAAGCCCCAAAGGGAATCAAGCCTCTTCCCCCATTAAAAGCCAAGGGGTCCCCATCGAGGACTACGGGGGGAAAAGAGGAGGGAGCCCGTGGAAACTGCATTTGGGCATGGGGTGCTCCATGTGAGAGCATTTGTGTAATTAAACCCTTTGAAGGACGGGGGAGGGGGGATATCAACTTTTCCTTTCGCATCTCTATCCTTTTCCCTTCACTCTATCTGCCGATCCAATCAACTGTTCATCTTGCCGCCATGTGTGCCTGCTTCCCGGATAAATTAATTGCCCCAAAGTAAAAATATATCATGAAGATATTGCTACACAGTAAAAGTTTGTCTAGCTTGTTGGAATAATCCATACCTTTTTTAATGACAGACTGGTCCAATAAGTTCATACCGCTGTTATTGGCATCTTCAACTGACTGTGGATATAAAAACATCACTATTCAAATTGACTGGATATTAAAGAATCGCGTACATAAATCATGTCATTCCAAACTGGAGTTTCTGTTATTTCCATTTATATTAATTCACTAGGGGAGGAGGGATTTTTTTATTATTATTATTGTTATTATTATTCCCCCAAATCGACAAGGAAATGAAATTCTTACAAATTATATAGTCTTCTAATAAAAAAGAGGTGCGAAGCATATGGGGTGCGATACTGGTTTCGTTATCTTATAAAACATAGATATCACATAGACTTCTTTGCATTCGATAAAGCTTTATATTTCTTCCTTTGAAAATCTGTCAATTTGGCAACATCTGCAATATCTATTGCATGACATAAATGAACACGATTAAGGACAACTTAAATTCTCCCTCCCCTTTCCTCCCCCCCTCCCTTTTTTTTTATTTTTTTTGTTTGTTTGTTTAACCCTGCAACGTCTTAATAATTCAAGGGCCATTTACTTTTTATATATAATAGTTTACATTATGGACTTTTAATTAAAGCCGGAGCAATTCGGAGTGCAGCGCAACGCCCACATCATATAGGGTACAAGCAGAAAGAGATTTACAGCTCCCGAGCTTGCTTCCATGTCCCGAATTAGTGGGGACGGGGAGGGGGGAGAGGGAATATACATTATCAAAAGTATGAACTATTAAATTGATTGCTTAGAAAAAGTCTCCTGATCCCCTTTTCAAAGCCTTTTTTTCCCTTTTTTTCCCCCTTTTTTTCCAGCCCGCTTCGGAGCACACCTGTTATTATGGCATTAACTTCTTAGCAGGGAGGAGAACAAAGACGGGCACGGAGGACGGAGCAAATGTTGGGTTTCATTTCTCAACGCGAAAGTGGGATACACAAAACCCAAGCAAACAAACAAAAATTACCGCTGAATCTACGGTCGGCACCAGCAAAATCATCTCCCCAAGAGAAGAGGTGTCATAAGAGCAATTTATTGCAGAATTACGACAGGTTCCGTTTTAGGGCAAATTCTGGGTTTCAGAGAAAGGGAGGACCTGTGGGTTTCTCGGTTGTATTGTTTTATTTTTCTTCTTATTATTTAGGGTTTGGCTTTTTCCGGATTATTGCATATTTGGGGAGTTGTCATATTTTTTCCCTGATAAGAAAAACATCTTTACAGCAAAGCAATGATTTTCTTCCCTATTATTTTAACTTTATCTTTGCTACAGCGAGAGGCTGAGCTTATCCGAATCCAGCCCTTATCTCCGTCTCTCTCTGCTCAGCAGAGACGTTCAAGGCGGAATATGATTTCGGAGAAAATTACATCTCCCCAAAATGTGACGGAACAATATTTTCTATGAGATCTTTCCTTTCATTTTCCTTGAATCCCCACTCAAACGAGCGCACACACACGCACACACACGGAGTGGTTCCTTATGTAGTGTGTTTGTGCCTGGCTGTGTCCCTCTCTCATAATCAATAGGCTACATACCTAAAGGGCACAAAATAAAATTACAAAGTCTTCCCTCCTTTCCCTCAGCAGCTCCCAAAGAGGGATGATGAGCAAATCCTGCAGCCTGCTGGAGTGCATCGTGGTGCACCTCGATGGCACAGAATTGGAGGTAAATACGAAACGCCATCGTTCTCTTTCTTTTTTTCCTTTTTTTTTTTTGTCTTTTCCCTCCTTATTTCACCTTATCTCTGGAGTCGAGGGTTGTGCACAAGCTTTATGTGTGTGCGTGCCCTCCGCTCGCTCCATCAGCAACGTGGGTTAGTTGTTGTAGTTAATGAGAAGACTCCTGTCTGATTTTCTATCTAATTACGCCCTCCTGCTGGGTTTTTGTACAGGATATTCGCTCAGCATGCTGGCAGTTAATAGTCACAGAGAGGATCGTAAAGATTTAATTAGGACTGCATGCGGAAACGTGGAAAAACAACTCAGACTTTTAATTACTAGACTTCTTTAGTTAAAAGTGATACCAGGGGTTACTTTATAAGAGACTTGGGTGTTTTGGTGCAACTTAACTTTCCGTGGCTCTAGCCAGCACGGAGCAGCGGGGCCGGCAGCGTGAGGGAGGAGGAGGAGGAGGAGGAGGAGGAGTGGAGGTGTGTAGGTGTGTGTGCAGGGAGGGGAAAGGTGAGGAGCTTCCAGATACACTTAGAAAATCCAGGGAGGAAGATTCCCCTCCCTCCCCTCCTCCAATAACCCGATAGCACGGAGTTCCCTGTATACCATAGATATCCACCTTATTCGACAGCTATGGATATATCTGAGAGAAAACCCTGCAAATTGATCTTTTTGTTTTCCTTTAAAGAGTCTAAAGAATCTGGATTTTCCCCTGTGTATTTTCTTTATTGTATCTTTTACTAGTAAACCCCTACTTTTGCCTAGCCGTGGAAAAAAACCCGCAGAAACTGGGATTGCAATGGTGTTTTTCAGAGTCCCTAATAGATGATGCAAATTTGTTTTCAATGAGTAGGTCTTGGCTTCCCGGTCCGAGGGCTGTAAAGCGCAGATTGAAAATTCCTCTCGAAAGGGGCAGCAATAGCAATACAATCCCTCCTGTTTACAATAACAGAGCGCTCTCGTGTTACAATCACTTAATGTTACCCCTGGACAATAGCTCACACACGGCCCGGATTTGGTGTTTATAAAATAACCACTGTTTCTTTCTGTCACGCACTCTTTCTCTGTCTCATTCTCCCTTGTCAGCCCAACCCATTCTCATGGCACGTATTGTTATCAGACACACATAAGCTAAAGCAAAGAGACACATCTTTATGCAACTATATACCTAGATATCGGTTCAACTTTTTGGACTACTAAAAAAGAAAAAAAAGACCAAACTATTTGAGACCCTTCCTGGAAATTCTCTCTAGTGTTCTTGGGTAACAAGTATATGTCGCCTAAATAGGAATCCCTATAGCTAGAATGGATTCCTTGACTCTAGAATAAATGCATATTAAAAATCAGGGTGGAAAACCGCCCAACTTAATGGGGACAAGTGGGGGGACAAGAATAGAAAATGCTGAA